TATGAGTAAACTACTTAAAATAGACAATCAAAAGTTGTATGTATGACTAGTTGTATACTTACCTTATACAAGTTATATAATCATAATTAAAATACAATAAAGGCAATAGCTGCTGATAACTACAGCCTTAGCAAAAGCAAAAAAAAAAAAATGCTTATTTTACTAATGATCATTTTACCAAAAGTTCATTTAGCTGATATTATATAATATATTTTTAGTAAATTGTTATTTAATATAATATTAGTTAAATAATTGTTAGTAAAGTAAGACAAATTCTGATTATGAGTTTATATATAGTATATAGAATTAATTAAATGCAAATTGTTACCTATAGTTTTTATATTTTAAATATGCCCAATTATAATAATTAGTCTATTCATTTAATTTTTGTAAAGTTTTATCTTTATTTCAATATTTTGTTTTAAATTGTTTTTTTACAGAGCATATATAAGTTGCTGCATAATATTATAAATTAAATTTCAAGAAGATACCTTTCCAAATATATTTAAAACTTGATAAACTAACTTTATTTATTCTATAATATTCTAGATTATTATAAATTTAGTATAAAGATCTCTTGCTTTTATATGCAGATAAATCAATAATTTTACAAGTATTATTCTAAAAATTACATCCTAAAAATTTAATTATCTTAGTAATATAATACAACAAAAATATACTTTATTAAAAAGTATATAAAGTACTCAAAATACAAGTAAGTTTTAATATAAAAAGATAAGTTGGGTCTATAATAAAAATTTACAAAACTTTCTTATATTGAAAGTTTATTATTATTCTTCAATTTAGTTGATATGATCAATTTTGCAAATTATTTATAAATACTGTGAATTTATGAATTTTATAATTATATTATAGATATATAGCTATCTTTTATTTATTATATTTATTTAATAATTAGTAATTATTTCTTATTTATTAATAGATTTTCTTTTTATAGACTCTATAAACCATCAATATATACCTGTTTGTTATCTTTTTAATATATTTACTAACATGATGCAATATTATAAAATTTTACTGTAAGACCTATAGCTTATATAACAAACTCTATATACTATATAATTAAATCAGTAATTCTTATTGTAAAAAAGTTTTAAAGTTTTTAATTGTTCTTTATTATTATTATTTTGTACAATATCTGATACATATTATTTAGCATAAACTTTTTTTTTTCACTTTGGCAGTCTTGTTGATACTCTTTATTAAAATTTCTGTTTATATATTAACAAATATTTTAGACTTAATGTGCTGAGTTGACATTTTGCAGTTACTTCTATGGGTACTTACAAGTGATCTGCTGCACCAGTTGCCTAATTTCTAAAGAAAAAAGAAGGTCTGGAAGGCTCATCTGACTACTGCTCTACAATAGAGTATTACCAATCTGATAATACTTTCTTGTAGGGAAATAAAAGAAGAAAAAAAAAACACTAAACTAAACTAAACTAAAAAGGGATATAGGAAGAAAAAAGAAAAGAAAAAAAAGTGTCAGAGAGCACACCTTATTCATAACCATTTAGGACACTAGTACTTTAAACCTGTACTAAGGATCTAATTACATTTTAACCTATGCTAAAGAGGTAAAAATTTTATATACATAATTTTAGGAATTACTATATATCTCTAATTTGCTATAATCCTCTAACTTAAATCCTTCTTCATTTCTTCATTACACTATATATTAGGCTGTATACATGATTGTTGTGTTTCTATTACATCATGTCACAATACATAACTGTCTGAAAAAGGATGTAGTAAACAATGCCAATTTTTTGTAGAGAAGTGAGCCAATTTTTCCACTTTTGAGTAAAAAAAACAATATAGATAGAGAAGGTCAACAGATGTGATATGTAAAAAGCCAAACCAAAGAGAGTGTTTCTAGTTGTTTATTTGTTTTCAAGCTTTTAACCAGAGTTTTTCTCTATTATTTCCAGAATGTCCTTCTGGTTTGAGTACTAAATATGTTGAGAAGTCCACTAACAGACAAGACTTGACCTCAACACAAACCACCAGAAAAATCACCTATACCTCAGTTTTTTCATGTACTTCTAGTTCATTAGCAACAATCTGCTTTATATATTTAAACAGAATTAAAGATATCATTATCTTAAAAGCATAACTTTTTAAACTGTTTTGGTACTGGTTTAGTTTAAGTGATCATCAAGAAGAGTTAATTGACTTATTGTATTATTTAGCATAAACTAAAATACCAAGTGCAAATAATTCATCTTTAATATCTGAGTATTTTACAATTTAACTATTTAGTACTTAGGTACAATACATTTTAGATCTCTAAAAATTATAAAGAGTTTTTTGAATAAGTCTTTAGTTTATACTATGTAATATATACTGTATATTGCTAACTAAAGTATCCCTGCTATAATACTTTTAGGAAAAGAATTGAGTACAATTTATGAATTTATAATCTAAAAAATAAGACTTAGAAAAGTACTATTCAAGAAATTTGATAATGTACTCTGAGTATTTTAGTTACTAGTATATAGTATTAGGCTTTTTATTTATTTTTATTCATATAAATTCTACTTTTATATTTATTTGACTTGCTGATGCTAGTAGCTAATCTGTGTAATAAAAAATTTTAAAACTATTATATCTAATTTTTAAATTATAAAAACAAATATTTATTATTAAATAAAAAATATTCAAATAGTTCAATTAATATAATAAATATAAAAATTTAATTTTGAAAAAACTTTTGATTTGTTACTTTTTTATTAATGTCACTCTATATTATAAATTAATAAAAATTAAAAAAATTCTATTTTGATCTAACAAAATATTTTTATATTGAATAAAATTTTGTGTTATGTAATACAAAAAATCTCCTTAGATAATTAGTCAATGGACAACTCTTTTTGACAATTATCTGAATCAAACTTTTCAAAAAGCCAAAACTACAGAAAAATAATATAGTTAATATATTAAACTTTATAAAAATCTTTTTAGAATACTGTATATACATAGTTGAACATTGAAACAAATTTAAAAAAAAATTATAACTTTTTGATAATAGTTTAAAAGCAGTCTGGAACTATAAAAGAAGTAGTTAGTAAAAGTCAAAATTTTTTATTAACTAAACATTAAAGTTGAATATATTATTTCTATACAATTGTAAAACCTATAAAGAATATCTAAAAAGATCAAGAACTCACAAATGTTACAAAGTTGATTTATCTCTCATCTTAATTTTTTTTGAAAAAAATTTTATAAAAAATAGATAATTTAGTTTATTCTCTTTTAAAGATTGATATATAAAATCACTAAAATAATTAGTAATATTTATTTTCTAAACAGGTTTGTTGATAACATAGTTCAGAAATATTATAGTAATAACTAGTACTCTATACTGACCTTCTATAACCAAGTCAAAGTTTTTTCTTTTCTATATGATTTTTTGTTAAATAATTTAAATAAATAAAAAAATAATAAAATTATTTCTATTTAGTATAGTTTATAATTTTTAAGAAATCTGACATAAGCTTACAATTGTAACTATTTGATATTTGTAAATTACAAGTTTCATACATTTTCTTTTTTCTTATTTATTTCTTTCTTCTTTTTATTTCTTGATTTGTATCTTTTATCACTTACCTTTATATCTCAGTTTTATATAAAAATTTTTTTTTGTTTTTTGTTTTCTTACAAAAAAATGTCATCAAATTGACAATGTCTTATTGTAAGGTGACAGTTAGACAAGTAGTTTATCTCTAACTGGGATAGTGTAACAGGTCACACTTAGGTACCATCTGGGTGACCAAGTGATGCTAGACTTGTATATCAGGAAATTCTATGTAATTTGTATAGTTTCAAAAATTCTAATAAAGTACTAGCATGGCTGCTAAAGTTAAAAAAAAAAAAAAACTACTGTTGGGTTATTTTGACCCGAATCAAAATAGAACTTCTCTAAAAATCAATTCACTTGAAATTTCTTGACTTTCCTTACATACCATTCATGTATTTTGTATCGAACTAAACATTATGAAATAGTTATTGTTATATATATATAATTATTTATACTTATTTAGATTAATTTTTACTTCACAACATTTTTTAAATACCTTACAGCCATTGCAAGAATAATGAACATAAACTTACAGGATACCAAGTACTATGAAGAATTGTAGAAACCTATACAGCTAGCACAAATCAGAATACGAAATATTGACCTACAATATATGCCCACATAAGTTTTAGATAAGTTGAACTATAACGATAATCAAACATTTAAATATTGTGCAAGTGGATTGGAGCCATTAGATATTATAGAATGGTCAGAATTAATAGAGCATATTTCAACAGATTATATATTTGTTAAAGAAGTCGAAATTCTGGTGGTATTCTTACAAAAGTATGTGCAATCGTAAAAGAAATTATGATACTAATAAATGTCGTTCTAAAAAAAATTGGATTTGAATGTAGTCATAATGGAGAATATAGTATAGAATTATAGGTTAGTGAATTTATTTTTCACCATATAAATTTTAATAATTTGACGCATAATAAGATAATTTTGATCTGACAACTCAAAACAAAATATGATAAATGGCTCAAAAGTTGGCAGTCCTGTCCTGTCTTATTATCCAATTGTAAGAACAACTAAAAAAGTTTAGCAAATCAATTTAAAATTTAGACATCAAACATTTTGCAAATTCTTTGTCGAAATATCTGATTTATTTGTTAACGGATATTCGTTAACGGATGTCTGAAAATCTGATTTATTTGCTTACGAATTTAGTATAATGATGCCAGTCTAATAAGTACGTATCAAAATAGTTTTACTTTGTTAAAAGTGTGGAAATTTTTTTTAGTGCGTAGTTAGCTCCGTGACCGCCGAACAGTCGATTACAATTTTGAAATTTTGAAATTTGTGTTGTAATTGATCTTCAACCCTTTAATTTTGGCCAATTAAAAAAAAAAAAAAAAAACTGTAATACGCTTTTTATTCAGAACCAAAAAAAATCATGAGTTCTACGAGGTCTCTTATTCCTCCTAAGTTATCTGTTTCTGGAATAACAGGCAGTTCCGCTGCCTTTGCCCAACTTGGTGACCTTTACAAAAAATTACCCAAGGGACCCTTGGTTGAAAGTATACCTCCTACGATGCCTAGATTACTCGGAAGATATTGGCATAGATACATTCGAACTAGTTCACCTGTTCCTATTTTGCATCTTATTGTGGGTCTTGGCCTTCTTGGTTACGCGCTTGATTATGAACTCCATTTAAGTATGTAAATTTAGGTCACAACGAAATTCTTTGAGAATAAAACATTTAAATTTTATGAATTTCTCACATGTTTACTATTCTTTTTATTCATTTGTAGAACATCACAAGAATAGGCCACATCATTAAACCAGTGTCTAATATTAAACTTTAGATGTGGGTCAGAATTAAATAAAAATCATTTACTTGTGGATTATAATTTTTAATTGTCTAAATCTTTGTTATGCAAAATAGAATCCTTATGATAAAGTATTCGAGTTTCTGAAATAACGACTCGAATTACATTGTAATGAAACAGAATCGAAATAAAGAATGATTGATCAAAGTAAGGCTGTATACCTGAATTAATGGTATAATATTAACAAATTAACGGTCGAATTCTTTCGAAACTACATAGAAGGTTCTCATTCTTTTCATCCATCTGGGTCAACATATCTATAGCAATCTATTAAATTTATCATACTCATGTGTAAAGATGCTGTGAAATTAATTTCATCAAATTTCACCAACAGTGGTGAAATTATTTCACCACTTTAGTTTAATTTCACCAACATCTTTACTCCTATATACTCTGATCGAAATTACAATTTTAATGTACACTTTCTATAAAAATCATCAGTTGACATATCAAAAATCTGTAAGTGGATATTTAAGTTTACACTATACCTGAAAGTATTATAAAAAAAATTCACAACTATACCGCACCAGATGACAAAAAGATACTACGTCAATTGTAAATGCTATTTGAAATTTTTTTTTGTTTTGAGAACATAAAATTTAATTTTAGGTTCTTAGAAAGATTTTTATAATACAATTTATTCTCAAATGAGAACATAATTTTTAAATATTGTGTTCTCAAAATATTTTAATGTTCTTAAGGACAATGAGAATACTAGATATCTAACACTGCTCACGTGTTTGCTAATTTAACGTATTATACACCACTACTACGTATTCGTATTACTCCTTCTATGTTAACAGCTGAATTTGATTAAATACGTATTAATAAATATATACAGTAAATCAATAAATATGCATAACTACAAATGCTTTTTTTCTTTTATTTTATAACGCCCGACATCTTTTGTCTAGCGCTAGGTTTCTTATTTTATTTTATTTTGGCAACACAAAATCTCGTGTAACGTTGGCGCATAAATCGAACTTTTGTTATCTACTATATAATTAGGCTTTTGGTTTTTTTACTCTGCGACACTCATTTTTTACAATGGATACGGAAGAAAATATTCAAGAAGTTCTTGAATCTGAAGAGGAGGTTGGCTCTGGTAATGAAACTGAAGAAGGGGATGACGATTCATTCGAAGATTCTTCTGAAGAAATGGAAGAATCTTCGGAGGGCGAATTTGAAGAAGAAGAACCAAAATTGAAATATAAACGTCTCGATGCCGCTGAGATATTAAAAAAAGACGCCGCAAGCGCGTTGGCAGTATCCGATCGTTTCGTGGTATGAATCATTCTAGTGTAAGCAATTAAGTTTTTTTTTCTTTGAATAATAACATTTATTCATTATTTAAAGACTTTGGGAACACACAATGGTGATGTCTTCATATTAGACTTTGATGGAAACCTGATCAAACGATTTTCATCGCATTCAGCAACTGTCAACGATCTGTCAATAGACACAGCCGAGGAATATGTTGCCAGCGCTTCAATGGATGGTATATATATATATATTAGTTTTCTCGTAAACACAGGAATTGTGTTTAAATGTTACACTCATTTTAATATATAGGCAAAGTCGTCATCCATGGAATGTATGTTGACTCCACCCAAGTCTTTAATTATCGGCGTCCACTCAAATGTGTCGCACTCGATCCTGATTTTAGCAAGAAAGATACTCAACAATTTGTATCAGGTGGCTTGGCTGGTCAACTGATCTTAAATGAAAAAGGTTAGGAACATTAATCATATATATTTGGAATAAACTTATACTAATAAGTGTATAATAATTGATTTTCAGGTTGGTTTGGTCAGAAGCAAGATAAAGTGCTTCAACATTCTGGGGAAGGTTCAATATATGCCGCAAGGTGGAGAGGGACACTAATCGCTTACGCTAATGAAGAAGTATGAAATTAAATTCCTTCTTTAATAGTTCATTCATCATGGCATTAAAAAAAAAAAAAACTTTTCATAGGGTGTGAAAATGTATGATACCCAGTCACAACAACGAATTACTTATATAAAACGGCCGCAAAATAGCCCACGAGCTGATTTATATCGTTGCAACCTTTGCTGGCGTAGCGATACTCAGTTGTTAATAGGCTGGGCCAATTATATTCAAATAGCTACTGTTAAAGTAAGAACATTTTGCATTTTGTACAAATATTAATTTAACTTAACAATTTCATTCTTTACATTTTTAGGAACAAAATATATCAGGCCATCCGCCACTCTTTGCTGAAGTTAACATGATATTAAACACAAATGATTATATTGTGTGTGGTCTCGCTCCATTTGGTGATATGACATTAATATTAGCTTACCTTATTGACATAATAACAAATGAGGGTTTAGATGATTCGGAGCATAAGCGTCCTGTAAATATTTTATTCTTTCGTTTTCCTTAAAAAAGTTGAAAATTTTAAAGTATAAATCTATCTGGGCTAAATAATTTATCATATAGCAAGCTAAATGCCCTGAACTTCGAATTTTAAATTCATCTAATGATGAGATTTCAATTGATGCATTACCACTTAATGGATTTGCTCTTTATCAAGCCAATGATTACGTGCTTGATTATTTTCCGTCGGAAGACATGTTTTACGTTGTTAGTCCAAAGGATCTTGTGTTAGCGAAGCCACGCGATTCCGACGATCACGTTGGTTGGCTTTTGGATCGTTCTAGATATGAAGAAGCTTTAGCATCGCTTCATGAAGCTCAAGCTTGGGGCGGCAGTAAAGTCTATGACTTGGACGAAATTGGAGAGAGATACTTAGTATATCTAGTTAAACAAGGTATGAAATTTTTCATTCTAAAATTGGGTTGCGAAGCTTGCGAACTGCAAACGATTTATGTCTCTGCAACTAAAATCTGAAATGCATGTGCGGTTATGCAGATGAATTTTGTGAATTTTACGTATAGGTATTTTCATATGTGCAACTAAATTCACATAATACGCATGTAATTTAGTTGTTGGACCGCAACGAAACTAAAAATTTAATTTCAGTCATGCAAATTTGATTACCTTATTGAAAGATTTACATTATAACATTTTTTAACAGAGGAATATACAAAGGCTGCTGAAAAATGTAAAAAAATTCTTAAAACAAATAAAAATTTATGGGAAAAATGGATTTTTACGTTTTCTGAATTGAAGCACCTAAAGGTCTGCATAAACGATAAATATTATATATTGTTTAAATTATTTTAAATAATTTTACTGAATTTTCTTTAGGAAATCGCAACATATATACCATTTAACGATCCACAACTCAGTAGTACTATATATGAAATTGTGTTGGCATATTTTTTGAATTATGACCATAAGGTAATATATGTTATAAAGTTTAAAATTTGTAATATTATCTCTCACTAATTCTTTTTCAGACTTTGTATGAAACTATAATGAGTTGGCCACCAACAATTTATAATATTCAAAGTGTTATTGAGCCAATTGAAGATGTTTTGGAAAAAGAACCTGAAAATAAAACTTTAATGGAATGCTTGGCTGAACTGTAAGGAATATTGTGTTCTTTCACTTATTTTCATGATATTACGGTTTTAACTGTACCTTGTCACTATTAGATATGCTTACAACCGTGAACCTGAAAAAGCACTTGAATATAATCTTCGTTTGCGTAGACCAAACGTTTTTGATTTAATAAGAAGATTTAATCTATTCTCAGCTGTACAAGACAAAGTAATTCTTTTGATGGACTTTGATCAACATTTTATGTCAGAGGCTCAAAAGGAAAAGGAAAATGAAATGAAGAATGAACAAAATCACACGTATGGTGTACCACCAGTCAAAGCAAAGAATATGCCAGCAGTACAACTATTAATTGAAAATACTGATTCAGTTCCGGTGTGCTTTAATATTACTTATTATCTTAAGTTCAAGTCATTTCTGAATATTATAAACTTGACATTAATCATTATATTAAATAGATTAGTCATGTTGTTAGTCAATTACAATCCAATCGTTATTATTTACACATATATTTAGATGCATTATTTACTCGAGATCATCATATGGGATTTGAATTCCACGACCTTCAAGTAAGTTTATAATATTACTATCTTTATTCAATTGTTATATTTTATTATGTAAAGATGATTTATTACGTTAAAACTGTAGATAGAATTATACGCAGAGTATGATTATCAAAGATTAATAGAATTCTTACGTGCTAGCAATTATTACTCTTTAGAAAAGGTATGTGCTTTTAAAGTTGTTATTAGTCAAAATTGTATCTTATGTTTTAATACATTTAATAAATAATAAAAACAGGCATATGAAATATGTAAACAAAGAGATTTAGTTCCGGAAATGGTTTTCATTCTTGGTCGTATGGGTAATAATAAACAGGCTTTAATGTTAATTATAAAGCGATTAGGAGATGTTCAACGTGTAAGTAAATAAAATAATATTATCATAATGACTCATTTATTCAACTATATAATTTCATCTTCCTATGAACCTTTTAGGCAATCGACTTTGCTAAAGAGCAAGCTGACGATAGACTATGGGAAGATTTATTGATATATTCATTAGATAAGCCACGTATGTATGCAGATAATTAGACTGTATTTGTATGCCATTGTTTAGAAATAACATTAATTTTACGTGTATAACAGCCTTTATTACTGGCTTATTGGAGAATCTTGGTAACATTGACATTGATCCAATACAACTACTCGAAAGAATTCCTGATGGCCTTGAGATATTTGGACTTAAGCAAGCTTTAATTAAAGTTCTTCAAGACTTTAATTTACAGGTTTAAACTCGATTTCTATATTACATGTTATCGCTTGAAGTTACATATATATAATTGCCTTTGTGATCTAGGCGTCTTTAAGAGAAGGATGTCAAACAATATTAGTGAGTGACAGTGTGTCTATGGCTTGTCAGCTTCACAGAGCACAAAAGCGTGGAATTTTATGTGGAGGTACAGTCCTACATCTCTCACATAATCTTTTATAATTATTTAATTTCCTCGATATAAAATAACATTAATATCTGCATTTAAAAGACGATATGAATTGCAATATTTGTTCAACACCTTTACTCAAAGATGGTAATTATAAACATTAAATTATATACTATAAGTTTTGTTTCACGATTTTACAATATACATTTTTTAATGTGCGATGTTGTATTTTTTTCATAGCCATTGCGTCTGATACTGCTTCTACACACTTAATATTCTTTTGCGGTCATGCTTTCCATGAAAAATGTCTTCTCGAAAGCGATGCAATTCCAAAACTGCCAGAAAATCTTAATAAACCACATTCGGTTGGTACAAAAGTCCGTCATGCAACTGTTCTTCAGTCTATGGCACCTAAGCCAAAATGTCCAATTTGTAACGAATCGAATCAAACCGCTAAACAAAAGGAAAAGCCCATAAGAATTCGTGGTTTTGTTCGCAGCAACAGGGATGATGATGGTATGCCTCCAATGGTTCCTCTTAGACTCTGAAATTTATTTACAGTAGAAAACTTGTGAATTTAAGGGCGGTGTGTACTATTAGTAAATTATATATAAAACTAATAGTAAATTTTGTTCCTTTTTAAAATTAAGAAATTTTGTTAAGTAAATTATTTTTAAATTTCCAATAAAAGTTGTAAAGTAGGCTTTTCTGATTTTAATAGTAGTGAAATCACTAAGAAACATGTATTTAAATATTAGGGATTATAAATTATTTATAAATTTTGTGATTATATAATATAAATCAATCAAAATCAAAAAAAAAAATTTATAATATACATATATTAGATATATATTGTTTTTAACTATGCATTTATTTATTAAAACTACTATTATTGTATAAAGTACAGTCTCGCATCTGACATTTGCCGTAACTTAATTACGTCAGTATAAATACAAAAAGCAACCCGAAAATGTGTACCAGGTTGCTGCTCCGGTGATCATGTGATAGTCCGGAATGAATATCCGGAAATTTTATTTAGCACATAGTTAATTTTATATATTTCTTTTTCGTTGGTTATGTACTTCGCGCAAATATTACAACACATGACGTTTAAAAACCTTCACATTATTATCAATTTTGTTTTCTCGTGTTAATGTTTTTCAATAAGTTATACATTGCTTTTTTTTTGAAAGTATTTTTATGTTTTTCATTATAGTCGGGTTGACATTTTACACTTTCTTCATTTGTTGTACTCGAAGTTTTGCTCCACTTCGTAATGATTCAGCCTTTATGGTAGATTTTGTTGATAGAGATAAGCAGCCAGTTCTCCTGATAATAAAGATTCAGCTTTTTTCGTGCTGCATAGTAGTCATTGATATTTTCTGAAATTCACTTAAACAATTTAAAGCAGCTTCTTTGCAGTTAAGATCCATGCATAAATTCACCAAATATTTATTTTTTTTCATTAGTTCAAGTTCAATATAATTTTTTAATTTTGAAATGGAACAGGTAAATCAGACAAGTTGAACAAATAGGTTTGCGTTATTATTATCATTATTATTATTATTTTTTTTATACAAAGTGAAATATGAAGCAAGTGAATTAATAAAGAAAATAATTCACTTTTACGTTTATGATAATTACTATTTATCAAAAAAAACTCTCTCCACTGATCCTTAATTTCTAAACAAAGTCAAACAAACATAAAGGGAAAATGCAAAAACAACATAATAAATTTTGTTTTAGGTTTTAAGAAAAAAGACTCAGCACACAAAATACAACTACTTTATCTTAACAACAATATAAGTAAAGTTTTGTTAAACAGAAGCTTTCACTAGTTTTACAGTTTTTTGAAAAACTTTTAAGAAAAATTGGAAAATGGCACTAGACCCTGAAAAACAGAATCAGAACACATAACCAGTCATCAATATAAACAAAAACAACATATTATGTTTTACTAACAATAAATAATAACAATAGTCTTATTAGGAAATAACAGATAAGTACATCATACAGAATAAGCAAATAGGTAAATAACAGAATAGTCTAGAAATGGAAATACAAACTAGATTAGAACTACCATACAATACAAACCTAATTCAACATATTAAGAGTTTCAGTGATAGAAATAGAAGATATATAGATAACAAAACATTAGATGCAATCTTGGAAAAATCTATAAGAAATCCTGATAACCTAAAGTATATAGTAAGAGACCTGGCAATTTATGATCCAAAAAACATTACAACAAATGATTTACTTCTTTATAGCCAAATATTAGAGGTACTCAAAATAGTAGCAATATGTACAATCTCACAAAACATTATAGAAGAATGGGCAAAGAAACTAGTATCAATAGATATAATTTCAGGGTTATTCGGCTATTAAATGAACATAAATAAGAGAGAAACATCAAAAGAAAAACAAAGCCTGAAGAAATAAAAGAGGCAAAGAAGGTCAAAGAAACAGAAATGTTTATAAATTCAAAAAAAGAACCTCAAGAATATAAAAATAAAAAAGAAGAAATGAGTCAAGATTTAAAAGGAGTTATAAAACAAATAGAAGAATTAAGTATTTCAATCACAATCAATAAAACTTCAAAGAGTTCACAAATGTAATTACAGGAAAACTCTTAACAAAAACAATGAGATATGAAGACAACAATTGGAAGAAAGAAAATAAAAAAGACCAAGAAGAGTCAACAGATGATAGAATACACAATCTTAAAAGAGATATCAAGAACATTGATAGGAAAATAGCAGAACTAAAAGCAGAAAAAGAGAAGCAAGAAACATTAGAATTGACAGATATAATGAAGTAAAGTCAGTGGTCACCTAAAAACTGTATATATAATAGGAGTAAATCTTTTAAGTCAAATATGCCAACATATATAGTATTAGGTAAAAACTAAGAAGAGAGAATTAAATATACATAATGGATCTTTAGAAGAAATCATCATATTAAATCAATTCAAGAACTTTTCAAAAAAGGTAATAGTTGGATAGAAGTAAATTTTGACTGCGAATTCAGCAGAGATGCAGCAATGGAGAGAATTAAGAAAAAAGAAAGTGAATGGCTTAAAATCATTCCAGAAGAACCACAGAGCCAAGAGAAGAAACAGAAGCAGCAAGTACTAAAAAGTAAGGGAAAAGAGATAGAAAAATGCAAAAATACTAGTAGACAAAGAAAGGAAGAAAGAAATGAAAGCAGGCATGCAATAGAAGATGATTTAGAAATAGAGTCATATTTAACAATATGGGATTTATCAACTAATATCAACACAAAAGAAGTAGACCACATGTGCAAAAATATTAAAGGAGCGCAGATAAAATATATCAAAAGGTCTAAATATAAAGTATTAGTAGTAATTAAAACAAAAAAAATAGAAGAAAGAAATATCTCATAGTCATTACCAATAGGAATGAACAAACTTGCAAGAATAACAATAGAAGAAGAAGACTATAATTAGTGTAACATGCAAAATCAATTTACTACTTGATTAGTAGAGCTTTCAGGAAATACATCAGAAGTATTGCTGTTACAATGTTTAAAGAAAAAAGGTGCAAAATTAGTATATATTTCATCTAATAGGAATGGTAATCAAAGAAGATCAGCTACAATTACATTCGCATCAGCAGAAGAAATGGAAGTAGTACAAACAAAACCAATATGCTTTAACAACCATTTACTCTTTTGGCAAGACTATAAGAAAGGAAATGGAAAATATATAAACAAAAATGAAGAAGAAAAGTATATCGATGAGGATGATGCTAGTGAAAGTTCAGATATAGAAACTGATAAGAACATTAATTATGATATAAGACAAAATGAAAATAACAAACATTACAATAATCATAAAAGAAACCAAACTAAAGATAAAGAGGCACAACTGCAAATGCATAGCCTTTTTCAAAAAATATTGAAAAGATTAGAAAGATTAGAAACTCAGCATAGCCAGATAGTGCTGGCTAATCACTCCTAAAGGTGTACCAGTTGAACTAATGAACTTAAACAAGAAGATCGAAGACTTTTTGCAAAAGAAAAGAAGAACATTTAAAGGAAAAAAGAAAGAAATATCTCCTGGTCTTAGAAATGAAGAAAGCAAAAAGCAGAAAGAAAGATTCAAGAATACAAAAATAGTACAGGAACAACTAAAGAGAAAATGGAAGGGAGGAAAGAAAGAAATTAAGATTGCATGTCATAACATTAATGAACTCAAAACTAAAGGTTGGAAACTTGAAAATCTGCTGGGCTGGGCAGAAGAAGAAGAAATTACGATACTGGGAATTACAGAAACAAAACTTGCAGAAAGAAAAGAGAAGTTTTTAACATATACAGCAAATAATAAATATATAGGATACTGGGTAAATGTAGCAGAAGATAAGAAAAAAGGATCGGGTATTGGAATTCTGATAAATGAGCAATGGGAAAAGCACATTGGTGCAGTTAAGAAAATAAACAAATACATGATGGAAATCACATTATATTTTAAGCAATTAGAGTTAGTAATAATCCTGGTTTATATACTACCTAATGACAAGATAATGGGAAAGAGCATCTAACAAAAAATTGTAGAAACAGTCCTAAAAAGGAAAAAAAGAATACAAATAGTTAAAATAGGTGATTTTAATCATATAGTGAACAACATACTAGACAGATAACACCTACAATCGACAAACTACAAAAGACTGTCAATTTTTAATTAGATGAAAAAGCAGAATTTTAGTAATATATACAGAGATATGTATCCAACAAAGCAACAATATACATGGTCAAATGAAGAAACAGCAACAAGAATTGACTATATATGGGTATCAGAAGGACTAGCAACTAAGTTGCAAAAAGCAGAAATTGAAGAAATAGAAGAAATTACAAAAAGTGATCATAAAATAGTAAAAGCAGAAATATAAATCAAACATGTAATAGCAAAAAAAAGTGAAGCAAAGGTTAAGAGAAAGAAACAGTCAAGAACATTATATTTGTATGATCAAGCAAAAACAGAAGATTAGGAAAACTATGCACAAGAGTTTCAAAAGTGATTAGAATTTAAAGAAATCCTAAAGAACACTCAAAGGAAAGAGCAAAACGAAGATAAAAAATTAAACAAAATAAATAATATCTGAGATGTAATAGAAGAAGCAATTATTATAGCAGCAAACAAACACATACCCAAGAAGAAAATATACAATACAGGAATAAATAGAAGAAGAAGCCAGAAAGAGCAGCAACTAGAAGAAAACTTGGTCAAAGTACAAAAACTAATCAAATATGCAAAGACAAAAAAGAACTAAAAAGTAATAGAAGAAAAAGGAAGCAAAATAAATGAACAATTAAAAGAACTAGGCAAAGAAATAGGGGCAAAACTGCCAAAACTGCAAAGATAATAGTCAAATGCATGGATAGAAGATATGAAGGGTTGGAAAAAACTACTACAAGAAAGGAAAAAGAAAGAATGAGAGCAAGTTCAAAGAAGGGAAATAGAAGAAAATATAGATAAAAGATATAAAATTATCAAGACAAATTAAGGAAAAATGATAGCAAGTCTACT